GATCAGATTTGACTCTTCTTTAGGCTTTTGTCTTCCGGTACAAGCACTTAAATGAAGATACAGGAGGAGCTCAACATCTAGAGTCTTGTTTTCTGAATGATGTAGTTAAAGTCTGCGTGAAATCTACATTTACATTGTTTGTTTGCTAGCTAGTGAGCATTGTTAGTCTTAATCCACTGAATTTGCTTTAGTTATAATAATGACAATACTGATGATAATTCTGTACATTTCTGTACACATTGTCTCCTCATCCACCACCAGTGTGCAGCATCCACCTGGATGACATGACGGCAGCCATATTGGGCCAGACCGCACACCAGCTGATTGGTGGAGAGGAAGAGGAGACAGAGCGATTAAGCCAGTTATGATATGGGGATGGTAAAGAGGATGGACAGAGGCCAGTGGGCTAATTTGGTCAGGATGCCGGGGTTAAACCCCTACTCCAGGGGTGCCCAAACGGTCCTGGAGGGCCGGTGTCCTGCATACCTACACACATACCTGAAAGTTACTACAAAACCGATAAAGAGCTTGATTGGCTGGTTCAGGTGTGTCTAATTGGGGTTGGAACTAAGCTTTGCAGGACACCAGCCCTCCAGGACCAAGTTTGAACACCCCTGCCCTACTCCAAGGACATCCTGGGATTTTTAGTGAGCACAGAGAGTTGAGACCTCAGTTTAACGTCTCATCTGAAAGACGGCGCTCACTGACAGTGTAGTGTCCCCTTCACTATACTGGGGCATTAGGACTCACACACACCCACCCCCTGCTGGCCTCACTAACAACACTGCCAACAGCAACCAACCAACCATTACATAATCCCGCCCCCTACTCAACATTGGTTAAATTCGCCATCGTACTGAAATGACAGCGTCAGCAACTTGCTCTCCACGTGGACTCTAAAGGCTTAATTACCAAAAGATTTAAATTGGCTTACATTTGGCCACTGACAGATATTTAAAGGACACTCCAATAATAATTGAATATATGCTCGTTTTACAGCTCCAATAGAGTGAATCAGTTGAGTATTACACAGTTTTAATCCATTCAGCCTATCTCCACGTCTGGCAGGTGCACTTTTAGCTTAGCTTAGCATAGATCATTGAATCAGATTAGACCATTAGCATCATTCGTTTCCAGAATTGTCCTATTTAAAGCTCGACCTCTCTGTAGTTATATCGTGTATTGATATGAGCAGAAAGCAAGACTGTAGCTGGATCTTCATTTGGTAATGTTCAGACATCAGCGCATGATGTTCATGTGTGGTTCATGACGAGCAGCTCCTCATCTCCACCTCCTCAACTGAGCTGATCAGATTTGGCCGGATGTGAGCGGTGAGTTGAGTCCGTGTTTTCCTCTTTCTAGTGACCGTCTGGTGCTTGTGAGGTGCGCAGCAGGGTTCAGCACTGACGTCAGTGATGTTGTGGATCAGTGTACAGGGTTCAGTAGATTTATGAATGCAGCCCTCCAGCATTTTTCATTTTTAGATCCTTGATTGTTTTAAAAGCACTTGAAAGACTTGCTCAAACACACACTAAACACACACTACACACACGTCAATATGACAGACACATGAAGCCCGTTCCATCCTCCCCTGCAGAAATACATTTGATCATGCAGTGCCCTGCTCTTGCTGCTCAGACACTGATTTTCTCTGTGCTGTTGGACCTGAGGGTATCACTACACCTGAAGAGGTGTTCCTAAGGCTGTCATGAACTATAATCCTGACACATCATGAATATGAAGAGATTTTCTACAACTCTTACTAGGTTTAATTGGCTCAGTTATGTCATGTGAAATGCTGAGATTAGTTTGATAGAGGACTTGATAACTTGAGATAATTTGACATTACCAAATAATAACTCTCATATAGTGAAGACAGTTTCAATGGCTTCATGGAAATCATGTTTATGACAGATTTATGACATTACCAAGACAACATATCCTGTCATAAATCCGTCATAAACATGATTTTCATGAAGCCATTCAAATTACAAAGGTATAACAGATGTGTTTATCTTGACATCTGCAATGGTACAAACTGAATTTGTGATTAATATTAATAACGCTGTTATAAACTGACAGTTTCATTCATTCATTCTCCTCCAGCTCAGACCCTTTATTTATCAGGGGTCGCCACAGTGGAATGAACCGCCAACTATTACACAAAATGTTTTACGAAGCAGGTGCCCTTCCAGCTGCAATCCAGTACTGGGGAACACCCATACACCCTCATTCTCACACACACTCATACACTACGGCCAGTGTAGTTGATCAGTTCCCCTATAGCGCATGTGTTTGGACTGTGGGGGAAACCGGAGCACCCGGAGGAAACCCACACCAATACTGGGAGAACATGCAAACTCCACACAGAAACACCAACTGACCCAGCCAAGACTCAAACCAGAGACCATCTTACTGTGAGGCCACAGTGCTGACCACTGCTCCACCACACCACCTCCACCTGCAAAGAGAAGTGATCAGAAAAATGACAGAGTTAAAGTGGCCTCACGACAATCATGTTTATGTCAGGTTTATGACAAGTCATGTCAAACAATGTCATATTTGCATTTAAAATGACATAACTGACACTTAATGCCATGTTGGTATGATTGTTGTCATAAGCATGAATAAAACCTGCATCATATTCTCGACACGTGTCGTGACCACCTTATGAACACTCTCTTCAAGTAATTGTTATGGACCTGAGAAATAACGTCTGAGGATAATTCCATGTGGACTCTACATGTGTGCTGTTCGGGCTTCAGTCTGTTTTATTAGAGCTTCAGGATGAAGTTGTTAGGTCGTATATTCTGCCCACACACACACACACACACACATACCTATATACACACACTGCAGCCAAACGTGGTGCACTATAAAGTGCACACTAGACTCGTGACAGAGACGCTGATGCTGGTGCTGTTACTGTTCTTACACTCGTGGCCGGTCATCATCCGGTCATTAGAGGAATCATCCTGCCGTGTTATTAATGAAGCGTGTGTGTGTGTGTTTGACATGCGTTTCTTATTTCTGTGAGTTCACTTTGACTGTCACAGCACTGGAATGTCAATGATACACACTTTCACTCGAAATGAAATGTACAATAAATTGCCTACACAGCTGAACAATGAGACTGATGCTCGTTTTGTTTGTGACTCGCTCACACCGCAGATGAAGAATCACGGCAGACATTACCATGTGCAGAGCTGTCATGTTCAGTGTACGCTGTTCATCTGTAGCTCAGACACAATACTTTACAACATTACAGCAGGTGAAGGCATTTGCAGACTTGAAATCGCCGTTTTCTTTTAGGATATCTGTAGAAAAGTCAACGAGAAACAAACGAGTCCTGCAAACACTCAATAATCACTGTGTGTTTCTCATCTGGGAGATCGTCCTCCTGTTGATCAAGACGAAGCCTTCAGGTAACAGTTTAATAATTAGTTTTGACTTGTTATGCCTTCATTTGTGTGTCAACATTTTGAGATGTGTTGAATTCATGTGAAAGATATCGCATTTCCACTTCCCTCATTCATGGTCAACTGGGTAAGGGGTTAGGGATATAGACCCCAGACCAGACACGGGCAGGCAGAGGGGTTTAGCTTGGCGTGGGGATCGTGGATCGGGCTGTGGCAGATAGTGGGGAACTCAGACTCACACAGGAACCAGAAGGGGAAACCAGGAGCAACCAATACAAGAGCTGGCAGGGCAGGAAGCCCGGGCAGTGCTAGCAGGGGTTTGTGATTGTGAGATGGAGTCAACGCGGCAAATCTAACCATCCAGGCTAGCATCTGCTTTAATGTGTCCACCAGGGCCTGGAATGGATGCAACTGCACAGAGGCCGGACACAGAGTGAAGTGAGAGTGCATTCCTCATGGAGCTGTGTTGATCAACGGTGATGCGGGGCTGGTGTGAAGCTGATCAGTGCTCATGATAACGTGCAGGGGGAGTCTGGTCTGACTGTTCAGCAACTATTACTATTAACTGAAACAACAAACTTAAGAAAAGAGTTTATTCGTGTAAAATGACAGACTTAAGAACAGTTCAGATTCTCAGAGTGTATGAGGGTGTGCTATATGAGTTTTGGGCATCATCATAGAAGTGTAAACGATGAGTTAAAACACAGGAGAGATGACACACATGATGTGTGCATGATAAAGTACAGTAAGGAGAGTCTATAGATGCTGATCTCTCCTGGAAACTGGCACGATCCGCTGTAGATTACCAGAGATTACTAGACTAGAGACAACAAAACAAAGCTCATGTATATTCCAGAAGGATTAAACGCTTCAGAATCCTCCAGATGTTCAGAAGAGTAATGCACAATGCTGAATCCTACAGTGTGGGTGATGAGCGGTTCCCTCTGCTGGACACAGATCAAAATAAACTCTCTATAACATGACATATTCATCATATAAACACTTACATTAGCAGTAAATATAGACGCTGTAGTGCTATAAAGGTTTCACCATGCCTGAATAATAGATCACACAGAGATTGATATACTGTTCGATTACTGTAACCGCGAGTCTTGCTTAATATGAAGTGAGAGACTAGAGTACATGTACACAGAGCGTCTCCACATAACCAACATGTACACTACAGTTTTACTATCAGTTTGGTCACTTGCTGACTAGAATGTCTGCACTGTAAAAAATCCAACTTGCACATTGCTAACTCAAATCAAAATTGTAAGTTGGGTGGACATATTTTGAGCTCAGTGTTGAGTTTACTTTTAAAAATGAGTTAACTGAAGGTTTAAAACTGGTTTGTTCAATGAAAGTAAATACTTAAGTTGAGCAGACTTTACATTTTGAGTTCTTCACTGGATCATCTACTTCCCGTCTTTGCACATGCTCAGTCTGTCTTCGGGTGCCATTTTGCACGAGGTGTCCTCTCACCAGCAGCAGCTGCCATCTCCTGATTCAGGTAAGCTTTGTTTTAGCTTTATTATCAAAATTAATCTAAATAGCGTGCAAATCTAAAGTAAAATGTAATGTTATGTTCCCAAAAAACTAAGTTACATCGTGTGAAGATCATTTCTGACAAGCTCGGGCTAACAAGCTAGCCACCTGTGAAGTGTGCTTCATTTGAAGGACTGTTTAACGTTCATTTGCTTCTTAAACTGGAGGGAAATGTAGTGAAATATTGTTGTTACAAACAGACATATCTGAGCGGCCGGTCACCACTGTATTGTTAACCCTGTTACTAGTACTTATTTATTAGTTACTAGTACTTATTTATTAGTTTCTAGTACTTATTAAATAGATACTAGTACTTATTTATTAGATACTAGTACTTATTAAATAGATACTAGTACTTATTAAATAGATACTAGTACTTATTAAATAGATACTAGTACTTATTTATTAGATACTAGTACTTATTTATTAGATACTAGTACTTATTAAATAGATACTAGTACTTATTTATTAGATACTAGTACTTATTTATTAGATACTAGTACTTATTAAATAGATACTAGTACTTATTTATTAGTTACTAGTACTTATTAAATAGATACTAGTACTTATTTATTAGATACTAGTACTTATTTATTAGATACTAGTTCTTATTTATTAGTTACTAGTACTTATTTTAATAGTGACTAGTAACTATTCTGTTGTTACTCGTAATGAATTAAAATTTTTCCCATTCATTTCTATGGGATCTCTAATTGAGATATCAACTATTCAGTTTTGACTAGTATGTATTCCAGCTGTGACTAGTGCATATTTTTATCTACTAGTAGTTAATCATTAGGTACTAGTACCTACTGTATTACTGAGATGCTACTACCTAATTAATAGATACTAGTACTTATTTATTAGATACTAGTACTTAAATAGCTTACTAATGTTTATTCATGTAGAGTTGATGCTTAATGGATAATCAATTCACTATTTGCTAATGCTTAATAAATGATTCATTATTATAAAAGTGTTACCTGAAATGTTTTATAAATAGAAGGTATATACATGACTGTGTTACTGACATTACTACCTTCAGTTTCCAAATTAAGTTGCTTTGCCTTTGCTTTTTTTACCTTGCTTTTTGGAGATGTTTGTGATTTAGCAGTAAAAATAGTTTTTCATCCTCTTTTTGTGTTTCTTTTTACTGCAGGACACAGAGCCAGAAGATATTTGCACAAAAGAGATGGAGATGGACATCCTTAGCACTGTTGAAGATGATGTTGCCACTCTTCAGACCAACCTAAATGTAAGGTGCGTGTCTGTGGTTCTGGAAGAGCAAATCGTGCTGGAAAAGATCTTCCGACAGCTGTTGTTCTCCTCTTTGGTTTGATTAATTTCCTCATTATGAACTACCCCAAAGAACTGAAACACATCTTTGACACTATTCAGAAAGTGTTTATTGGCCTTGATCCTCAGTGCTCAGCAAGAGTCCAGTCTTTCAAAAACAAAATGCATTGGTTTGAACACTGAAATTGTGTTACTCTTGGTGTTGTCACGAAACTTAAATTCAGTTTTGATTTTACATTTTCAAATGTTAAAAACATCCGTTTCCCACCAATTGATTGATTGGCTGTTGTGTTCAAGCGCTCAACATAAATGACTGTGATTGGCTGAGAAGTTCACCATTTCACTGCTCTTCACTGATGTTCATGGAGTGCAAACACAGATACACACACACACACACACACACACACACACACACACACACACACACACACACACACNNNACACACACACACACACACACACACACACACACACACACACACACACACACACACACACACACACACACACACACACACACACACACACACACACACACACACACACACACACACACACACACACACACACACACACACACACACACACACACACACACACACACACACACACACACACACACACACACACACACACACACACACACACACACACACACACACACACACACACACACACACACACACACACACACACACACACACACACACACACACACACACACACACACACACACACACACACACACACACACACACACACACACACACACACACACACACACACACACACACACACACACACACACACACACACACACACACACACACACACACACACACACTGGAGTGTTTCAAAACGTCGCATAGTCGATCCATCAGCGTAACACTTGTGTCAGCTTATACACAGAGCAGTTGATCAATGTGAAATTCTTAAGTGTCCCTGTGTCTGTGGTTACACTCAGTAAACAGCAGTGAGTTTGGTGAACTGATGATCTTCACGCCTAATCAGTGTTTTCTGTTGAGCATGTGAACACAATGGCGATATAACAGTGTTTAAAACATGGTCAACAACGCTCAAATGTTAGCAGGAAATGGACGTTTTTAAAATGATAGAACTGATGGGTAACAAAATTAAAATATCGTGACAAAACTAATTACTCTTGCACTTTGAAGAAAATGTTGATAGTGCAAGCTTTTTAAATATTTCTTTTGCTTAACTCGAGCACTTAAAAGGCAATACAGGATTTGAGGATTTACCTTTTTGTTGCCTCTTTTCCTTCTCTGGACTGCAGTACATTTCATTTGGACAGAAAGCTGTTTGCAGAATTGTCAATAAATATATTCTTTGATATTGTGTTTTATAGTGTGTTTTGTAATCTCTTAACTTCATACTTAGAGTCATACAGGTATTTGTTTGAGAAGCGCAGATATAAGATTTCCATAAAATTATGAATTAAAAGATAAAGATTAAATCAACTTAAAATTAAGGCAACCAGCTGCACAGCTTTGAGTTAACTGAACTTCTGTAAGTTGTGCCAACTCATTTATTACAGTTTACTCAACCCCTGTTTAATTTTAGGCAAACTCATAATGACAAGTTAGATGAACTTAGGCTTGAAAGTTGTCATGACTTAAACCAGCCATTTCAGTCAACTTAAAATAATAATTTGGCACAACTTCAACCACTGAAGTTGAGTAAACTCAAAATTTCTTTGCAGCCGGTTGCTTTAAAATTTTAAGTTTACTCAACTTTTTATTTTTTACAGTGTGCATATATTTACATAAATAAATAAAGAAATGTCATGCAGTAAAACTGTAGAGGAGACGTTACCCAGCTAACATTCTCACAACGTCTCAGCAACGTTCTCCAAAGTTACGAACAAAAAAACATTCATTCATTCATTCATAGTAGTGAGTGTTTCAGCATAACGTTATTCTACTATTTTTAAATATTACATTTAAAAGGTAAAAATCATTCCCATAATGTTTGCACAATAATAACGTTTGGGAAATATGAGTGAACGGTGCTGCATTTCTGTGGAGATCCCAGAGTAGCCGTCATGGCCAGCGGCAGACTGGCCATAGGGAGCACTGGGACATTTCTTGTTGGCCTGACGGTCTATCTGGCCTGCCGTCTTACCAAATATTGTATATAATGATTTATAGTAAATATTAATGTGGAATATTGTGGCAAAACCTCCCCAATCCTAACCTCAGAACCATTCCAATACAGTGTTGGCAGCATAATCTGAAGGGTAGGATCAAATGTCAGGACAGCGGGTCTAGTAAAGCTCCAGCATGTGTGTTTAGATGGAGCAAGTTTACTACACAGAGTCGCATTTCACTGATAATCAACGCAAAAATAATGCTTCAAATATGCGTTGGTTTAATTAGTCGATGGTTACTGACGCTGGTGTCGCTGTAGTAAAAGCTGCATGTGAAATTACAATATAGTAACAGGGTTTTCACCTCTAAACAATAGTCATTCATTCATTTACCTTTAGCTTAGTCACTTATTCATCAGGGGTCACCACAGCGGAATGAACCACCAACTTATCCAGTATATGGTTTACACAGTGGATGCCCTTTCCGCTGCAACCCAGTACTGGAAAACACCCATACACACTCATTCACACTCACATTGTGGATCCGTCAGCACCAATTCAAGTTGGGAATTTCTCAACTCTTCAAGCATCAATGGAAGCGTCAGCCAATCAGATCGCTTTATGCAAATACCCCAGCTCAGACAGTAGCTGATTGTGGATTAATTTCATTGGCTGACGCTGCTAAGACGATCATGTCAGCCTCATCTTCAAACACGCCCTCCATCAAATGTTGACGCTGAAGCCCCGTGTGAATCGGCCGTGATCATCAAACACTGAACAGCAGGTCAGCCCAGCTCTGAGGACTCAAGCCTTCAAAACCGTTCAGTCCAATCTTTGGGGAAAAATAAATAATGATTCTGTTAGAACTTGAAATGGTACACATGATAAAATGTCACGGTGGCGCAGTGGGTAGCACGATCGCCTCACAGCCAGAAGGTCATTGGTTTGAGTCTCGGTTGTGTGGAGTTTGCATGTTCTCCGTGTTGGTGTGGGTTTCCTCCAGTTTCCCCCACACCCCAAACACATGCGCTATAGAGGAACCGATCAACTAAACTAACCCAAAACTGTATGTGTGTGTGTGTGGGTGTTTTCCAGTGTTGGGTTGCAGCTGGAAGAGCATCTGCTGCATATAATATGTGCTGGATAAGTTGGCGGTTCATTCCGCTGTGGTGACCCCTGATGAATAAAGGGAGTAAGCTGAAAAGAAAATGAATGAGGCAATAAAGCGGAGAGCCACAGACACAAACAGCACAGTAACATCACACACATCCTCATATGCGCCTGTCATGGGGCTTCAACATCACTGGGATCCAATTTTAACATCAGGAAATGATAAAAATATAACGGTGGACACACGATACCTGCACACGCTTCTGTCCAAACAGCTGACGTAGATCATTGGTGCCCTTTAAAACACGAGGCGCTCATCCCCGATGTGAGCGTAATGATCCCACTCATCCATCAGGCGTGTGCTGACATGGGAAACCGCCGTGTGTGTGAACGGCCCCTAACAGACCCGCTTTCCCCAGACCCGTCCTCTGATTTCCCAGCATGAGTGGATTGTTGATGAGCAGCGAGTCGTTTACACGCAGATCTCCCAGAGATGAGTCCAGTAGCAAAGAAACCTGAAGGTCAGCGTGTCGTCCTGAAGGCGGAGCGAGCGCGGCGTCCGGTGGTTATGAGTAGATGGACCAGTACACGATGTTGAAGAGCGAGTACGCGGCTGGAAAGATCACGCGCGAGTACTTGTCTATGGCGTGGGTGTCGATCCAGATGTTGACGTATCCGCGTGTGGTCTTGACCCGGCTGTTCCTCTGGCTGTCGGACAGGCTGAGCTGGGCCAGGATCCGCTCCTGCCGCCCGCCGTTCTCCGGCAGCCCGTAGGTGCCCGTGGTGTTGGGGTCCACGTCGCTGTAGCAGGTGGTCATCATCATGTCCTCGTCCGGGTTCGCTATTCCACACGTGCAGGGCAACTGCAGCGGTACAACACAAACACAGACGCGTCACACTGGCGAATAATCAATTAAATCTATTGTCCTGAGATCAGGGATAAATGCAGCAGTCTTACTTGATTCCTGAGTTTCCTCTCCCGGCGCTCCTGAACCGTGGTCAGGTAGTTGACGGCGGCGTACTCGATGACGGAGAGGAAGACGAAGACGAAGCTGACCCACAGGTAGATGTCCACCGCTTTGATGTAGGAGACTCTGGGCATGGAGGCGTTGACTCCGGTGATGATGGTGGACATGGTGAGGACCGTGGTGATGCCTGCGGGAACACACACACACACACACTTCACTGGAGGATCATGGCTTGACTATTTCCATTTACCGTCGTATTATTTCCAGTGTGTCGTCTAGAAGATGCTTCTTGCTCTAAGAATGTTTGGACATTTAGACTGAAGCAACACTACACCTGTAGGAAAGGCATTGTTTGGGTGTGCTGTTTGTCCTACCCAGAGGAACTCTTGCAGGAACGGCTCTGCGGTCGATCCAGAAGGACACCCAGGACAGCATGACCATCAGCGTCGCCGGGAAATACGTTTGCAGCAGGAAGAAGAAGACGTGTCGGCGCAGAGTGAAATGAATGTAGAGCCGATTATACCAGCCTGCAAAACACACACACACAGTGTTCACAGCACACACACACACACACACACACTAACCCTGCGTGCACATTTCAGATCTCCAACATGACTGACGCTCACACACACATTCATATCCGGCAGATCCTCTGATCAGCATTAATGATCATCGACTGAAAGGTTTTTCCATAACGTCTGCACATCTCTGTGTTTCCCTGAAGCATTGTATACACTGATGATCCAAAATCCCAGCAGGAGGATGAAGACTGCACTGGAGGATCTGCACATGGACTCTGACATGCTGACGTGTTACCTGTGCTGCTGTAGAACGCCAGCTTGGTGGTGGTGTGGAACTTCTGGATGAAGAACTGGGACAGAGAGATCCTGTCGTCTGTGTTCAGAGACTCGTTGCCTTTCTTCCAGTAAAGCATGAGATCGTCATCAGTGTATGCGTCTGAGAACACAACACACACTCATCACACACACTGCCTCTGAACACTCATGACCTCTGTGTGTGTGTGTGTGTGTGTGTGTGTGTGTGTGTGTGTGTGTGTGTGTGTGTACGTACAGCTCTCGATCTCCAGTGAGCAGGTCTGTGTGTCCAGAGGGAAGCGGCTCAGGTCCATGTTGCACATCGCAGTGACCGTCACCCTATAATAACAACACAACACCCAACACAACACAACACAACACAACACAACACAACACAACACAACACAACACACACACAGCAGCACTCATCAGGGGTCAGTCCAGAGCTGATATTCACAAAACATCTCAATACTGAAAGCAGCTCCTGACTCACAGGTTCAGCAATACTCCTGACCTGCTCAATTTTGGTGATTTCACAGCTGAATCAGTGAAGAGCTGTGCTCATCTGTTTTCAGAATCTGCCTGTGTCTTGTCGACTGACATCAGCTCTGTTTGTGAAAACACTGCGCCTCAATCATTCATTCAGTGCTTTCCAGCTTAATCCCTTTTTTAATCTGGGGCCGCCACAGTGGAATGAACCACCAACTTATCCAGCATATACTTTCATGCAGCGGATGCCCTTCCAGCTGCAACCCATCACTGGGAAGCATGCATACACTCTTAGCATTCATTCATTCATTTTCTTGCCGGCTTAGTCCCTTTATTAATCTAGGGTCGCCACAGTGCAATGAACCGCCAACTTATCCAGCACGTTTTTACGCAGCGGATTCCTTTCCAGCTGCAACCCATCACAGGGAAGCATCCATACACACTCAGCATCTGAATGATATTTCACACTGCTGTTCCCCTGTGTTGTGAACAGAGATGACGGCATCTCTGACATGTTAATAATCCTCTTAAAGACTGCTCATGTAAAAGGTAATCCGCGGTCGCGTTACAGCCGCAGAGTCTTCTGCTGAAACTGGCAATACACATCTAACCTGTGTTTACAAGAGACAGTTCCCCCAAAACATGATCAGAATGAGTCTCCTTCCTCTCTGGAAAACATCATCATTTATTTTTGAGTAATGCTGATTTCCACACTGCTGGTTTTTCCTGTGGATGTGAATGTCAGATTCTGCTGCTTGTTTTAAAGAGAGACTGACTTCATCTGGGCTAGTACAGTGTGTGTGTGTGTGTGTGTGTGTGTTCACCTGAGACTGTAGAGCACGTTTCCGTCTGGATACACTCGCAGCATCACGTTGTCTGTTGTGGTGTCGTGGATGAAGGATCTTTTGGAGTGGACGAAGAACATGTCGGGCACCCAGATCTTCTTGACCAGGCGGCTGTCGAAGGTCATGCTCTGGTTGTTGGTGCTGGGGAAGGACAGGCGCTCGTCTTTCCAGTAATGCCGCAGATATAGAGTCATGGTGAAGTCCTGACGGCAAACACACACACACACACACACACACACACATTACTAAAACATCAGAGATGACGAGGGACACCACGATATACTAATGAATGATTAATACACACATTCCTCCTTACTCCAGAATAATAATAGTTACAAACATTACATCTGACCTGTGGAGGGCAGTGCTGTCTCACATAAACAATACTGCAAGAGAACACTCAGTGATTTAGAGCCGTCCTACTGTAAACTACTGCTGTGGTGATTCGACAGTCGCTGTGGTAACAACAACTATAGTAACTGATTTGTTGTGGTGATTCTACAGTTGCTATGGTAACACAACAACTATAGTAACTGATCTGTTGTGGTGATGCTACAGTTGCTATGGTAACACAACAACTATAGTAACTGATCTGTTGTGGTGATTCTACAGTTGCTATGGTAACACAACAACTATAGTAACTGATCTGTTGTGGTGATTCTACAGTTGCTATGGTAACACAACAACTATAATAACTGGTTTGTTGCAGTTATATCAGCAGTGATATATGTAGATGAATGAGTGTGTAAAATAGCAGGAAATGTGCTGCAGTTTACTCCAAGGATTCTGTAGCGTAATATTCAACACCAACACACACCATAGAGCTCTGCAGACCATCACACACATGCAGAGGAGACACTTTTACACACTGTAGCAGGAAAGATGAAGATCCTGTTTAATGTCATTCAAAGCATAAATAAACGGAGGAAAATAGAATCAGAAAACACAACAAGCTGTGGATAGACGGTGTTTAATGACTGTGCTGATGGTGTCAGTAATGCTGCTGCTGCCGCTGTGCTTCTCTCACCATGTCCACCTCAGAGATGGTGTCCAGACTCTCCACCTGCACATCCACACCCACGGGGATCGGCGGACCTGCGGACACACAGGGTGACTGTGAGACTGAAGATCAGTGATGATGAAGATGATGATGAATTATGATGGTGGTACAGGTGACATGGTGGCTCAGTGGTCAGCACTGTCACCTCACAGCAAGAAGGTCACTGGTTTGAGTCTCGGCTGGGTCAGTTGATGTTTCTGTGTGGAGTTTGCATGTTCTCCCCATGTTGGCGTGGGTTTCCTCCAGGTGAACCAGTTTCCCCCACTCTAATAGGAGAATTTACTAACTAAATTGGCCATAGTGTTTGAGTTTGTGTGAGTGTGTGTGAATGTGTATGGGTGTTTCCCAGTACTAGGTTACAGCTGGATGGGCATCCACTGTGTAAAACATATGCTGGAATAGTTGCCAGTTCATTCCGCTGTGGTCGATGATGATGATGATGATGTATTTTTGTGATGAAGATTATCATGAAGATGAATATTTTCCCCAATTTGAAACATTGATCAGTTCATTTTTTAATTTAAATGACTCAGAAAAACTTTACCATATACTCGGAGAGGACGAATTGACATTTAGACTAGCTGCAAAATATGTATACACCCTACACACCATAAGAAATGGTTAATATAAATTTGTGTATCTTATTTAAATAATTTAAACTTTTTACTATTATTATTATATTTATCAAATGTATTGTTTTGTGTGTGTGTGTGTGTGTGTCATTATATCTTATCTGTATTACTATTAATTTTTCAATGGTTTTAATATGTTTCATATTTGCAGTGCTTTGGCAATACTGTACTTAATGTCATGCCAATAAAGCAACTTGAACTTGAATTATTTTTAATGATGACGAAGATGATGATGGAGTCTCTCCCTCTCTCTCCCTCTCTGTCTGTCTCTCTCTCTTTCTCTTTCTCTCTCTCTCTCTTGCTGAAGCAGACAGGATTATCTCTGCTATGTTTGTGGCCTATTTTAGGCTCACCATCAAACACAAGTGGGTCAGGATCAGCCGCAGCACTGCCTCCTCACATCTGGACAGCAGTGTGTGTGTGTGTGTGTGTGTGTATGTTTATTATAGTCAAATATTCTTTCATCAAAATAAGAAGAGTTCATTTGCATAATAAATAACTCAACATTAGTCATTTCCTAACTGTTCATAGTGTAAACTGCAGAACACATCCTCTCTGGAGATCCAGATGTTTTCAATCAAACACACATTTCTGGAAAATTCTAAAATAGTGCTAAAAACATCTGTCAATCAATCAATCAATCAATATCTATCTATCTATCATCTATCTATCTGTCTGTCCATCTCTCCTTCATGAGCAGTTGTCGCTCACCGCCGAATGCCGGCCTCATGGTGAAGTCGTGGTCATCAATCCTCAGCAGCTGCTCTGATTTGGTCATGGGAGACTTCGTCATGTCTGGACTTCTTCTGAAGATCGGGCTGAAATCGTGAACAGATGAAACTGTGGTGAACTGCAGCTCAATGCACAATCATCTCACAGATCAGCAAACTTATTACACATTACATTTATTATAGGTGCTGGAATCCTCTCAAGCACTGCTCACCTTATCTGCAACACAAGCAGCTCATTATAGAACTGCAGGAACATTTCAGGCTGTTTGCATGAGTTATCTTTAAACTGGAATGATAATCAGCTAATTTACAGTAAACTCAACACATTACTATGTAAAAGGCTTCAAAATAATAGGAGACATTTAATTCTGTTACTTACTGCTGTTTAATTTACTGTGAATTTTTTTAAGCTGTAGCAGATTTGGTGATAACAGTTGACGATAACGGATTTGACGATAACAGAGTTGACAATAACAGAGCTGACGATAACAGAGCTGACGATAACGGAGTTGACGATAACTGAGTTGACGATAACGGAGTTGACGATAACAGAGTTGACGAATACTGAGTTGACGATAACGGAGTTGACGAATACTGAGTTGACGATAACAGAGTTGACGAATACTGAGTTGACGATAACGGAGTTTACGAATACTGAGTTGACGATAACAGAGCTGACGAATACTGAGTTGACGATAACGGAGTTGACGATAACAGAGTTGACCGTAACGGAGTAGACGATAACAGAGTTGACCGTAACGGAGTAGACGATAACAGAGTTGACGTTAACAGAGTTGATGATAACAGAGCTGACGATAACAGAGTTGACGATAACAGAGTTGACGATAACGGAGTTGACCGTAACCGAGTTGACGTTAACAGAGTTGACGATAACAGAGCTGACGATAACAGAGTTGACGATTACAGAGTTGACGATAACGGAGTTGACCGTAACGGAGTTGACCGTAACGGAGTTGACCGTAACGGAGTTGACCGTAACGGAGTTGACGATAACGGAGTTGACGATAACGGAGTTGACCGCAATAACAGAGCTGACGATAACAGAGTTGACGATAACAGAGCTGACGAAAACAGAGCTGACGATAACAGAGCTGACGAATACTGAGTTGACGATAACAGAGTTGTTGATAACAGAGCTGACGGTACAGTTAGACAGTCAAAAACAGATTATTGAATTAATATTTCCAAGACAAAATGTCCCTAAATTCACATATAAACATGACTTATAGAGGCAGCTGGATATAAGTGTTCATTCGAAATGTTTGGTTTTTGAAAACTAATTATAGAACTATCTTGGAGATGAGAAATGTTCCTGCATTTCTAGAATCCTCCGTAAGCTGCTTTGAATGAAACATCCCACATCATACAGCACTTACAGAAACAGCGGCTTCAAGATAAACATCCCACCCCAAAATATAAGAGATATCTGTTACATCATCGTTAAATATAAAGATCAGCCTGAACGCCACTGCACCTGCCAGACTTGTGGTTTCCTCCATCCACACGTGTGGTTTCTCTCCGCAACCTGTGAGTAGAGTGAGAAACTACATCTCAATCTGTGTTTACCCACAATTCCTGCAGTGAACATGACTGAATGTGCCTTCACTACTGTCAGTTCATCACGCTGTGGCTTTAATCCAGCAGCCACTCATTTCATTAATCAGGGGATGCCACAGAGGAATGAATCACCAACTATTCCAGCATATGTTTTACACAGCGGATGCCCTTCTAGCTGCAACCCAGTACTGGGAAACCCCCATACACCCTCATTCTCACACACACTCATACACTATGGCCAGTGTAGTTGATCAGTTCCCCTATAGTGCATGTGTTTGGACTGTGGGGGAAACCGGAGCACCCGGAGGAAACCCACGCCAACACGGGGAGAACATGCAAACTCCACACAGAAACACAAACTGACCCAGCCGAGACTCAAACCAGAGACCTTCTTGCTGTGAGGCCACAGTGTGACACTACTCAGTCTCCATGCTGCACTTGGAGTATTTATATGTGATATGTGTGATTCACTGCTGGTCACGTCAGTAAATCCAGTAACCAACACAGCCTTACTGATCTGAGAACTGTAGTCTGCTAGGGTTTTGAAGGGGTCGCTGAGGATTTTGGATGTTAAAATAGGGGTCAGACAGCATCACGTAACCGTCACAACAACAGCAATGGCGGATTACAGTGTGTGCTGTAGAAGACGGAGCTTACAGCTTTACTACAGAGCATTCATGAAGCCTCTCCAGCAGTGTTGTGTACAGCGCCGGTTCATGAGCTGCTCCACATCTCAGAGAATCACAGCACCACACGCTGCTCTGGCATGTACAGCACTTTCGCCTCACTGCAAGAAGGTCTCTGGTTTGAGTCTCGGCTGGGTCAGTTGGTGTTTCTGTGTGGAGTTTGCATGTTCTCCCCGTGTTGGTGTGGATTTCCTCCGGGTGCTCCGGTTTCCCCCACAGTCCAAACACATGCGCTATAGGGGAACTGATCAACTACACTGGCCATAGTGTATGAGTGTGTGTGTATGGGTGTTTCCCAGTGATGGGTTGCAGCTGATAGCGTAAAATGAGGATATTTTTTAAGAAATCAGTGTGAATGCTAAAGAATGCGTTTCTAATAGAGTTTTAATCTTGTTTCTAGTCCAGATATGTCAAATTCTCATATCTATATTTCTCTGGATGAGCAGCACAAACGGTTTTATTTTCAGAAACAGAATGAGAAAATGAGGAGAGTTTTTCATTAAAGCAAGCAGAGTAATCTGACAATGGGGGAAGCAGATCACTGTTACTTTATTCTGCCCTTGGCAGATTATTCTGCTTGTTTTCAGGTAAACTCTCTTCATCTTGACTCATTATTTCTGAAGGCAAGTCAACATGTTCAGCTTGTCTAGAGAATGCTTCTGGACTTTTAGATATTTGCGCTAGAAACAGGACAGGAGCTTTGAGTAGGAACAGCTTGATTGGCAGTGAAGCATCGCTGTGTGTGTTTCTCCAAGCCGAGTGGAAGGCTTCACAGACACGGATCAGGATATGGAGGCTGATAAGATTCTCCATATGCTGTGTCTGAAGGCAATGAAGAGGCTTCTGCACTCACGAGACTCCACAGATCCAGCAGAATATTGCACATTTACATTTAGCAGACGCTCTAATCCAGAGCGACGTACAAATGAGGAGGAAATACACACAAGAAGGGCTACTGACACTGGAACAAATGCGTTTCTGACTCAGAGTTTCTGTCTTGTTTCTAGCCCAAATATCCACAAACTCTTAAATCAAGAAGCTTTCTCTAGACAAGCAGAACATACAGTGCTGTCCTCTGAACTAACCAGAGTCCAAATGAAGAGAGACGTTCTCATTAAAACAAGCAGAACAGCCTGACAATGAGGGAAGCAAACCAAAGTGTTGACCTGAGCTGAAATTGATGGATGGACGGACGGACGGACGGACGGACAGATGGATGGATGGATGAATGGATGGATGGATGGATAAAATAAACATGCTAAAGTAATCCACAGATCTTCATGGTTGTTTGATGCTTGCTTTTTGATGAACAGGATGTGAGCTGAGTAAGCGGCGTGTGTGTCTGCAGTGTAGGAATGAGCCTCAGGGATGGTTGTTGGCTGTGGTCAGGGTGTTTACCTGCTCTGCTTGTAGGTCTCCAGTTTCTGTCCTGGTTTTGGTGCCGATCTCCCCGAGACGCCCAGCAGACCCACACAGAAGAAAACGAGCACCGTCTCCATCTGCATGGTGCACACACTCACACAGGTCCTCACAGCGCTCTGGAACCCGGACGAGCCCCCACTCCGCAGCCGGACCCCATGGCTTCTGCTCCGCTCGCTCGCTCTGCTTAATCTGCACGCTGGGAAAAACAATTTGGACTAAACCCATAAATCCCTGAGCGTCAGATGGCACAGATCTGATCCTGCGGCGCTGAATCTGCTCTGTTTGCCATGCGCCGCCCCGAACCAATTCTCCTAATGATGGTGTGTTTGGCATTTGCATTTGCATGGCCAGGTCAGTCGTGTGGAGGATCAACTTCATGACTGTATGCTCTGCAGAAACTGCTTTACTTAGAGTTTCTGTCTTGTGTTTGGTCCAAATATCTTTCAATTCTTTAAGAAAGAAGCATTCTCTAGACCAGCACAGCATATTAAAATCACCAGTCCAGCCCACCTGAAATATAAGTGAAAAAGCCTCTATTGAGATGACTATTGCTGTAAAACAGCAGGATTGTGCAGCGCACTTGTGAAAGTCAGTATTTCATGTTAATAAAGGCTGTTAAACTTTTATCCTCCTCCTTGAATGCCTTGGAGGTCTGATCTTTTAGAAATCTTTAGAAATTTGGACCAGAAACAAGATTAAAAACTCTAAGAAGATCATTTTTGCAGTGTAGAAATGAACTGAAATGGTTCTGAAGTGTTGTGTTGGATCAAGACATCGAGAGCCCCTTTCTCTGTGGACATAACCTGTCCTCTGTGGTTCAGATCAATGCAGTGTCCAGAACCCCTTCAGACGCTCCAGATTTCTGCTTCTGGATGACTGATTGACTGATTGACTACACGTGTTGAGCGCTGTGGCAGATGTCTGACAGACTCCACTGCTGCAGGATCTGTTTTATTTTCAGATGTTTCTCTCTGCCTCACGGGTCTGCACGTGTTTCCAGGCTCAGGCTCCATCTTTAAACACTCCCTCATTCACATTAACACGCGTGTGTTGGGGTTCACAGTAGCCGTTTTCAAGCTTCCTATAATGTGTTGAGCAGAGAAACTGGCGTGAATGCAGCTGAGCAGATGACACACACGCACATCTCTGAGCAGATGACACACACGCACATCACTGAGCAGATGACACACACACATCACTGAGCAGATGACACACACGCACATCACGGAGATGTCTGTTTGATGTTTGTGCTTACACAAATCTACTAGACATCAGTAAAAAGTCATTTGTGTCGTGAAGTGAATATTTTCAAAGTTCTCAAAAGTGTGAATACTTTAAAAAACATTAAATAATCGAATTACCTCATTTAAAACAAATAAGTTCTGCGTTTAATCAGGATCTGTCCACATGAGGTGTAGCGCAGCGCGCCACTGGGCGGCGTTCCTGATGTTTTGATTCGTCACGTGACAAGCAGAACGATTAGAAAGTAACATCAGTAAATGTCCTGCTAAATTATTTATATCGACTAAACGTGTAATTCAATTGATAGTGTATCGGAGATCTTAATCTGTCGATTTTAAACGCAGCCTTGCCGCAGTTTTTATTCAAAGAGCGCTTGTTTTTAGGTGACTCTTATTCTGACATGTTTTGACGCGTCGCTGTTTCCGTCAGTTCCGTCATTCACACACTTTCAAACATGGAGTCTATATTCCACGAAAAAGTAAGAATCGCTTTCAGATAATGCTGTGTATGAGTGATGTGTAGATGATCTGGGAGAGCTTCTCCTGCAGGAGGGCAGATCTGTCGAGTTCAGTCTGCTGCTCCGGCTTGATATCTCTGAGGCGCTCGTGGACTTTTATCGAGTGTCAACATCCGACACGGGCAGACAGTCCAGCACATGTGTGTTTACCGCCAGAGCGGCTCCTCTTCACTGCTGCACTCCGCCACACAGCGCTGCAGAGGAGGACACTGAGCCTGTAGACTGAGGGAGTGCTGGAGAGTGTGTCTGAGCTGAAGGAAACACGACATGAGCAGAGTTTACACGACGAGGATGACGTGTGTGTGTGTGTGTGTGTGTGTTGTGAAAGAGTTTGTGAGTGAGTGAAACAAAGAAAGAAATGTAGAGTCTGAGTGAGAGTGTGTGTGTAAGAGAGCAAGAAAGTGTGTGTTTGTGTTTGTTGACAAAGAGTGTGTAGTGTATGTGTGAAACAGATTTTGTGTGTGTGTGTGTGTGTGTGTTACAGTAGGAGTACTCTGTGCAGCATGATGATGATGATGATGATGATGATGATGATGATGATCATGGTGTGTGTGTGTGTTACAGCAGGAGGGCTCTCTGTGCAGGAGGATGATGATGATGATGTTGTTGTTGTTGTTGTGTGTTTACTGTGTGTATGTGTGTGTGTGTTACAGCAGGAGGGCTCTCTGTGCAGGATGATGATGATGATGATGAGGATGATGTTGTGTGTTTACTGTGTGTGTGTGTTACAGCAGGAGGGCTCTCTGTGCGCGCAGCACTGCCTGAATAACCTGCTGCAGGGCGAGTACTTCAGCCCGGTGGAGCTCTCCTCTATAGCACAGCAGCTGGACGAGGAGGAGCGCATGCGCATGGCGGAGGGAGGAGTGCAGACGGAGGAGTACCGCACATTCCTGCAGGTACACACTCACACACACACACACACAGAGCTCAGGGTCTCAGTGTAACCTGCTGTGTTCTGTGTGTGCAGCAGCCGTCAGGGAACATGGACGACAGCGGCTTCTTCTCCATCCAGGTCAGTCATAGTTACCCGTTACTCCTCACAAACACTACAACAACAAATCAGACAAAGCTGCTGCGACAGACGGAAAACACGAACCCTCTGCTGTCATTCAGACTGCAGAAACAGGGCCGTGATCAGGTGATCTGCTGGATGATGATGGGATGTCCACAGGTGATGGTGATGGTGATCTGCTCATCAGGAAAGCTCTAGTGCTGTAGGAGCAGAGATGAGTCGAGGATCTCCAGTTTGAGCACAGATATGAGAGGATATGAGTGAAGTGTGTGAACACAATGCTCCTCAGAGGAAGACATGTGGAGATTTCACCTTCAGCAGTGCAGAACAGCATTAAAGACTGAAGGAGTCTGGAGGAAGCCCTATGTTAACAGTGTCCAGCAGCGCTTCTCTGGGCTCTGGGTGTCTGGGATGGAGCATCACACAGTGGAGACGTGTCCTGTACTCAGATGAAGCAGTGTTTCAGGTGTTTCTGGGAGAAATGGACGCCGTGTGCTCCAGACCACAGAAGAAGAGGATCATCCAGACTGACACCAGCAGCAGCCCGGCTCTGTCATGGTCTGGGGTTGTGTCGTGCTCTGGGCAGAGGTGACCTGCTCTTCTGTGATGCTCCAGTAATGCTGAACAGCACAGAGAGATTCTGGACCCGCATTACAGAGTCCTGCTGCGGAGGAAGAGGAGACAGACACTGGACTGGCCTGCCTGCAGCCCCGACCTGTCTCCAATAGAGAATGTGTGGCATGAAGAGCCCGTACTGTTGCCCACATTAAGACTGGTTTGTCTTCAGTCCTTAAACAGCTTACCAGTGTGGTGAAGAGCAACAGCAGCAGCAGCAGCAGCAGCACACACTGCTGAACGCTTCACTGACACGGCTCACTCTGACATGTGCTGCAGAAACCAACACTGGAATACCTGGAAAACAAACGATGATGATGATGATGATGAACACATGAATTAAATGTTCATAGAGACCTGTGTGTGTGTGTGTGTGTGTGTGTGTGTGTGTGTGCAGGTGATCAGCAATGCTCTGGGTGTGTGGGGTCTGGAGATCGTCCTCTTCAACAGCAGAGAGTACCAGCAGCTGCAGATGGACCCCATGTGAGTGTGTGAGCGCTGTATCCTCTGTGTGTGTGTGTGTGTGTGTCTCCTCTGCACACACTCATCCTCCTCTGCTGTCTTTCAGGCATGAGAAGGCCTTCATCTGCAACTATAAGGAGCACTGGTTCACCGTGCGCAAGCTGGGACAGCAGGTGTGTGTGTGTGTGTGTGTGTGTGTTCAGGGTCAGAAAGGTGTGTGTTTGTTGACTCTTTCTTTCTCTGTGTGTGTGTGTGTGTGTGTGTGTCAGTGGTTTAACCTGAACTCTCTGCTGACGGGTCCGGAGCTGATCTCAGACACATACCTGGCCCTGTTCCTCGCACAGCTGCAGCAGGAGGGTAACACTCATTATCGTGTGTGTGTGTGTGTGTGTGTGTGTGTGTGTGTGTGTCCGCTTCAGCGCTGCTCTTGTCCTCCTGCAGGTTACTCTATATTTGTGATTCGGGGGAATCTGCCGGAGTGTGAAGCGGATCAGATCCTGCGCATCATGAGGGTGGAGCAGCAGCAGCGGCCCAAGCTGATCGGAGAGGAGGAGGCGCAGAGGTACACACACACACACACACACACACACACACACACACACACACACACTGGAGTCTCCATAATTGAGCACTGCAGCTGATTGTGTGTGTGTGTGTGTGTGTGTGTGTGTGTGTGTATATATGTATTAAGGGTGGAGCCGAACCCGAATACGGTATTCGGAAAGGCACGAATAGCGTGTTTTTACGAATACTTGATTCGAACAAATACTTAAAAAATTATTTGTATTCGGGAGCAAGAAAAACACTATATCAAAAAGCAGCGTTTCCTCATGAGACCACAGTGCATGCCCGCGTGAGTGAGTGAGTGAGAGAGAGTGAGTGAGAGAGAGAGAGACAAAACGCGCCAAAGCCCGAAACTGAAAGCGAGACGTGACTTTTAAGGGGTTGTTTCATATGGATTTATTAATCATTCTTACTGTTCATTGATCGCAAACTGCCGTAGTTTATTAAAGAAGCAAACCCCTCACTGCACGCCAGCTGCACCTTCAGCAGACCTCCTCATTCCTGCAGCACGAGAGCTTTATGATTGTTTATGCGCGCCAAAAGTGGCGGATCTTTCCGGTGAAATATCTGACTGCGTGTCACCGCATCCCTAAGGACTGTTTGGCGAAATATTTGACTGCATGTCACTGCATAACAAACGACTGAAAGGATATAACTAGAGAACTCTCCACTGTGCTACTGGGTGAGATCGTATGGCAAGCCGTTTTAACATTTAAACCTTGTTCTGACTATCCATAAATATATTTAGAGATATCTTTAATTATATTTTGACTTTTCATAATTATAATTCGACTAGTCAGATTGGAAATATCTGCAAATATATTATGATAGACTAGTCATATTCCTCCATTGACTTCCATTGAAAAATATTTGCAGATATCTCTAAATAAGTTTTGACTAGTCACAATTGTAATTAGAGATATCTCCAAATGAATTTTGACTAGTCAAAAATCCAATTCAAGATATCTACAACTGTAATTAGACTTTTAGTAAATAATTAGAGATATCTTTAATTATATTTGTAAATATCTCTAAATATGATGAATTAAAGATATCTCTAAATGTATTATGACTAGTAAAAACTCAGAGATATCAATCACAATTGTTACTAGTCAAAATTCATCTGATTTCGTACTAGTACAATTGTAATTGCAGATATGTCTAATTGTCATTCTGAGTAGTGGAATTATAATTATGACTAGTCAAAATATAATTAGAGATATCTCTAATATATTTATGGAGTCAGAACAAAGATTTAAATGCTAAAAAGACTTGCCATAGAGAGCGCTTCTCACTGAACAGAGCACCGCGCAACCTTCTATGTAATGTATTATCACATGCACTAAAAGCATCCTAAAAGCATCAACACAGCCACATTCTGCCCCAGCAAGTCAGTTTCAAACATAAAAAAAACAAACAAACAAACTTTGTGTCTTTTTTTGTGGCTGGCAGATGACAATAGCAGGGCTGTATCTAGTATTATATAGAATACTTTTGTTCTGCCAGATCTCCCAGGCAGGGTTTTATTTAGATTAATTTAGTTAATTTTAGTTTTTGGAATTCTGTGCATTGGAAAGAAGTTCTTTCAGAAGAAGAACAGTTTTTTGAAGTATTATTTGTTTTTATTGTCTATTCAGTATCCTTCAACACGAACGGTGGTGGTGGGGTTCATAATATTCACAATGGTATTTTATTAGTTGTTGGTTTAACCATGGATGAGATAATGGCTTCTGTTATTTTCTTTTCAATGACATTTCTTATCACATGTTCAAAAACAACAGCCAATATTGCATATCTATAATTTATATAATGGGTATAATTGAACAATACTTTCACTATAACGTAAATTAGAAGTGTAATAGAAAAAATATATATTTCTGCGCCATTTTGAATTTTACTCGAATACAAATACAAATACAAATACAAATACTTTTCCCCCCTCAACAAATACAAATACAAATACCGGCTGCTCCGCACATCCCTAATATGTATGTGTGTATGTTGTCAGGATGTCAGCACCGCACGCGTCTGAAACCACACACACTGCAGAGGAGCCGGTGCTGGACGAGGATGAGGAGGAGCTGAGGAAGGCTCTCGCGCTCAGCAGACAAGACCTGCAGGTGGAGGATGAGGAGGCAGACCTGCGCAGAGCCATACAGATGAGCATGCAGGGTGAGCACACACACACACACACACAGCTGTAGTGATGTGTGTACTGCACAGACCGTATATTCTCTAAACTCAACCCTCACAGTGAACACTGCACCTTCACATCTTCACAATCCTCCATTCTGCCTGATCTGCACGCTTGTTTACCTGTGATCATCTCAATTTGATCCTCACGGTGATCCAAGTCCCCATGAGTCTGTGTGCATTTAGGTTCAAGTCCCCACTGAGATATAAAAACCAGTACAAACACTCATACAAACTCACACAGTGATGTACTCTCTCTCACACACACACACACACTCTCTCGTCCTGTAGGCAGCAGTGATGCGGGATCCTCGGCTCCTGCAGGGGGCAGCAGTGAGAAGCAGACGCTCAGTGCAGAGGAGCTGCGCAGGAGGAGACAGGCTTACTTCGACAGGTGAGCACACACACACACACACACACACACACACACACACACATCATGCAGACGTGATGATCAGTCAAGAGTAAACACTGAGTGTGTGATCTGTGACAGGCAGCAGAACGCACAGGACAGCAGCAGCAGCACAGGTAAGAGGAGAGCGCACACACACACACACACACACACACACACACACACACACACACACACACACACTATAGGAGCAGTGTGAAAGGGTCTGTTCACCCAGAGCTCATCCTGTGGTTAGTGACTCTCCTCGTGTTGGCGGAGCGGTGCAGGACGGGTCATTAACAGCAGAGTGCTGCTGTTTGGGTGAGCCGTCCCTTTAAGAGCCGGTCTGAGCGCTCTGCTGTCGGTTTGCAGGAGGCGGGACGGACAGCGGGCCCAAACCCACCCAGTGACGTTGCCGTGGCGACGGTGACAGACGCACCGCTCGCCCTGAACACGCCCCCTGCGGGGATGATGGGAACGACGCCTCGGCTCAGCACAGCTCCGGCCGGCGGGCTCATTACGGACGCTCGTTTAGCTTTGCTTGACCTCTGTGTGTGGAGCGGGAAGCGTTTCCGGAACATTCCTCTTCCTCAGACTGCCTTCAGTGCACACCAGAGCCAGACGCGGACACTGGAACACGCCCAAGTGCATTCTGGGACCATTCGGGCTTTACTGGGTTTCTGCATATTTCCTCTTCTCCTCTGTGAATTACCGTGTGTGTGTGTGTGTGTGTGTGTGTGTGTGTGTGTGTGTGTGTGTGTGTGTGTTTGATCTATTCACTAATGAAGGTAGACTCTCACGCACCCTAGGTAGTGAACACTGTGTGCGTGAGGGCGGAGCTCACGTAGGCCGGACCAGAGAATCAACATGTGATGATTTCAGCCAATCAGACGCGCTTCAGTCAGTCAGGTGTCGTCCCTCAGGCTCTGCTTGTCTTCATTTGTGTGGTTTGGCGTTCAGCAATAGTTTGTAAGTGATCTGGATGACTCTTGCACTTCTCTACACACACTTCTGTTTCTTGAATAAAGGATTTGCTGGAGTGGACTGAAGATGTGGGATGTGTGTTTCATTAGCGATGATGAAAAGGATGAAAAAGTGAAAATGAAAAAGGTTCCAGAAAACAGAAGTTATGTTCCTTTGTTTGTGAAAAAATACAACAATATATATGTTATTATAATGCCTGACATGTGTATTTTACAAAACTGAGACCCAAAGCTAAATATCTGAGCAAGTTATAGTCCCAATTTAAAGTTGAAATCTCTTTCGGTAAGGTTAAGTTTGGGCGCAGTACCAGACATGACCACTAGTTTCCATTCAGTTTACATTGGTGAGCATACAAGAGCGAACCCTGAGTTTGGAGAAGTATGAACTGTATTTTCACACACAGACAACGTGTGTAGAGTAGACATTAAATGAGGAAGCAGTATGGACAGTTTGGTGGTCTTTGCATTAAATTTAGCCTCTTAAAAACATCTAAACCTGTCTTCACACGAGGATTGCTGTAGCAAAGTAATGCTTTATTACGACTTCTTATGAATGACTTTTGTCCCGCGTACACTGATTGGCGCAGTTATGCATTGACAGTGCTGTGAACTGTTATGGGATGATCAGATGCATGTCTGTTATTTTATTATTAACGTTGTTTAAAATGCAGATCAGAGTGAATTTCCCAGATTCATACATGTATACCCTCATACATAATATAATATGGTAAATTCCCCAGCACTGAAACACACACAGTGGCTATATGTGACATAACAGTGACGCACTGGAGCGGCCGTCCTGATCCAGCTCTGAATGGTTTGTTTGTGGTCAGTTCTGGCCTCTGCTGACCCAGACTGACCCGCAGGGCTGGAAACAGTTTGATTGTTAATAGATAATCTCTGATGTTCACTGAACTTTGTCTCTGTAAACAGACGAATCACAACACACGGCTCGAGATCTTCATCTGCCGCATCTGCGCGTGAGTACACGACATTTTAAAGGCTCTTTATATTCTTCTGGGTTTTGCCTTTCTGTTTTAATGCTCGTGGATTGCCTTTGGTACAGATTTACTCTGTTTCACATGGTCATAAACACAGCATGCATGGCTAACTGAGTGTGTGTGCTCTTGTGTAATGTGACAGGGAATATTTCCAACTCCGTATCGATTGCTGTGGATCTGCATCTGTTACTGGTGTTGTGCATGTCTGTGAACCTTTTGTCAAAGCATTGTTGAGACGGTCTTCAATAGTCAATATGAAGAGTTTCAGTGCTGACATATGGAAGTTCATAATAGTTGGAAAGCTTTAGTGAGGGATAAAGGGAATCTAGACAGTCGTTGTCTCAGAATAAAGCCGGACAGGTTTATCAGAAGCTGTTATAGAGGACTGAAGGGTTTATTCTGTGAACACGACCCACTGGACACAACCCTCCTTTATCCTGATTATTACACGGCTGCTGGCCACAACATATAAACATTAGACGCAGAACATTGATCTGAGCTGTAATAGTAACACGGGCGTCTGTAGCTCCGCCCTCTTCTGAAATGACAATCTCATTTGCATTTAAAGCAACAGTCTCCAAAACACTACAGTTAGGATCAAAGCCTGAAAGGGTCAGCTTCAGAGAGCTGGAGAACATCATCTGTGTGCTGTTCTCCGCTCAAAGTGAAACACAAACACTGTAGAACGGGGATGTCCAAACTCGGTCCTGGAGAGTTTAGCTCCAACCCTAATCGAACACACCTGAACCAGCTAATCAAGCTCTGACTAGATACACTAGAGCAGGGGTGGCCAACCCTGAACTAGAAGCTTCCAGGCAGGTGTGTTGGAGCTAAACTCTCCAGGACCAAGTTTGGACAGCCCTGCTCTGATGCAGGGCACAGCTGAGATGCATGTACAGTTTTAGAAAGGGACACAATAGGTCTGCTTTAACGTCTGTTGTACCTCCATTGTGTTATGCCTGTGTAGGGCGTCTGACGATCATCTTCAGCTCCAGAGTTTCCCACAGAGAGTGTAAGATGGAGTTCAGACTTCTCCTCGTCTTCATTTCCGCGTGTTTTCTGTGCTCTGCTGAACATGAAGAGCTCAGAACTCCTGATATCTCAGATCTGGCCTTCAGAAACACAGACTTCGCCATCAACCTCTACCGCAAGATCTCCAGTTTGCACGACAGGAACGTGGTGTTCTCTCCGCTGAGCGTCTCCACGTGTTTCTCGGCGCTCCTGCTGGCGGCGCAGGGCTCCACGCGCACCGAGATACTGAAGGGTCTGAATCTGGAGGCTCTGGATGGAGGAGACTCCCGGCGGGTTCCTGAACTCTTCCAGCAGCTCCACCAGAACATCTCCCTGCAGATGGAGCAGGGCACGGCGCTCTTCCTGGACCAGCACTTCCACCTGCAGACCAACTTCAGCCAGCAGATCCAGAGGTTCTTCAATGCAGAGGTGCTCAGGGTGGACTTCAGCAAGCCGGCGGTCTGCAGGAGCCTCATCAATGAGTTCGTCAGCAGAAAGACCGGCCGGAAAGTGCTGGAGATGCTGGAGAGCGTGGAGCCGCTCACGCAGATGTTGCTCCTCAACACCATCTTCTACAAGGGTAAGAGTTACTCCAGACACAGATATGAGCTTCTGCTCTGGGATTGCACTGATAAATGTGGAGCTGAGCCAAAGAACATTTGAGTGAGTGAATGAGTGATGTCCAATGCATGTTGTGTTGACATTAAGATGGGATGGAAGTCAGGGGTTACAGGTTTTCAGCTCTCTCCAGATCATAAAGGTTTGGAACCGCTTGAGGGAGAGTAAACAGCGAGTGAATGTTGATCTTTGAGGGAGCTGTCCCTTTACACTCTTTGTTCTGCAGGTGATTGGGAGCGTCCGTTCAACCCCAACAACACAGAGAAGAGCCGCTTCTACGTGGACAAATACAACATCGTTCAGGTGCCCATGATGATGCTGGAGGAGAAGTTCTCTGTGGTGGAGGACCGGGATCTGCGCGCTCGAGTGCTGCGTCTGCCGTACCGCGGTGGAGCCTCCATGCTGATCCTCCTACCCTCCGCTGACGCAGACTACACCGCCATCGAGGACGAGATCAGCGCCGAGCGGCTCCACGGCTGGATCAAGAACATGAGGAGAATGTGAGCCACACGCTGGGATGCACTCAGTCACTGGCCACTGACAACTATAGGCCGAACAAATGGAGGGAAAGTGTCACTGCGCTACTGTAGAGGCTTCCACACCGCACACGGGACGCACTTCACTATGAGCCTGTCCACAGCTGCTCTCGTCATGCTTTTCCAAATGTTTACATTATGTCTGAAAACGTTTCCATTTCACCACATGAGCGCGTCTCTGTTAAATGGACACGATGCCCGTCTTCAACTCAGGCGCTATATGCTAATTTATTTAGGTGACGTCAACTACAGCATCAGATACGACACATTCTATTGAAATAATATTGATGTTTACAGAAACGTAAGATATATCTTTGACATATAAGTAATATTGAATCACACTGAGGATCATCACGAGCGCACGATACTCCATTATTAGTGTAACGGAGGCCAGCTGGTGAGTGCTGTGCAGGTAAACCTCCATGGTCTTAACCAACTCCCATGCGGAAGGTCGCCGGTTCGATACCAGCTCGGAGCGGGTTGGGTGGGCTAGGACTGGCGGGGTTACATTAGCTAAATGAAACATGTTTTGTCATCCAGACAGGTGCAGAAGCTCATTCAGAACTGTACAGCAGAAAATAACCCTGTCCTCAGCTTCCCCCATGGGCAGCTTCTTCTGCTTGTTTCAAGGGAAAACTCCTGTAGTTTAGAGTCTGACGGCTTTTCTTGATGGTGTGTGTGTGTTTTACCTTGACTGGTGTGTTTTCTGTTGACGGGTGGTGTTGTGTGTGTGTGTGTCAGGAAGATGGAGGTGCATCTGCCCCGGTTCCGCATGGATCAGTCGTACCACATGCATGAGCTCCTGCCTCAGCTGGGCATCAGCAGCGTCTTCCAGGACTCCGCAGATCTCACCGGGCTAAGCAGAGACGCACATCTGAAGGTCTCTCAGGTGACTGAACGCATACACACTCACACACACTTACATACACATTGAATAAAACACACACACACACACACATATCCAACAAAACACATATGCACACAAATACACACACAAATCTGCAATAAAACACACATGCACACAGAAACACACACACACACACACACACAAATTTACACACACATATATATGTGCACAAGTATGCCGCAATACACATGCACACACAAATCTGCAATAAAACACACATGCACACAGAAACACAACACAAACAAATAGGCATGCACACAGAAACACACATATGCACACAAACAGACACACACAAATACACACATGTGCAAATATGCAATAAAACACACATGCACACAGAAACACACTCAACACACACATGCAGTGAAACATACACAAACACACGTGCACATGTAAAAGTAAAACACACATACAGACACACTCACACAACACGCACACAAATACACACACCGGCACAAATATGCAATAACACACACATATACACACAGAAAAACACTCAACACAACACATACATGTGCGCATCTATGCAGTAAAACATACACACCACACACAGAAACACACAACACGCACGCACACACATGTCATGTGCACACATGTGCAATTAAACACATATGCACACACACACACACACACAAGTTTGTTTCCTATCTCAGTGAGGACATTAGACTTCCATAGTTTTTCTGTCAGGTTAATGAGAGTGTCTGTGGCCTAGCCCAGGCCCTGACCCTAACCTTAAGCGTCTCAGAAACATCCGCTCATCACAGACGTGTTTGTGTATATGTGTCTCTGTATGTGTGTGTTTGTTTCTGTGTGTTTCTGTGTGTGTGTGTGTGTGTGTGTGTGTGTGTGTGTGTGTGTGTGTGTGTGTGTGTGCGCTCGCAGGTTCTTCATAAGGCAGTGATAGAGGTGTATGAGCAGGGCACCAGCGCTGCCTCCTCCACATCAGTGGGCATCACGGCGTACTCTCTGCCGGACACCTTCATCATCAACAGACCCTTCTTCTTCTTCCTCTACCACGAGGAGACCGCCAGCCTGCTGTTCATGGGCAGAGTCATCGACCCCACGCTCAGCTGACACACACACTCTGATGGAGACCGACCGCCCTCTCACACACACACACACACAACACACAACACATACACACATTTAATGGAGACCATATTCATAAACAGACACACACACACACAACAAACACATTGATGGAGACATTTCTCATTAACACACACAACACACAAACATTGATGGAGACATTTCTCGTAAACACACACACACACACACAGACGGAGGCAATACTCATAGACACACACAGATTTCAGAAAGTTGCAGAGAAAATGTTTTTAAAAATGCCATAATAAAAGCATTTGGGTTATTTCCTTTGGACTTTTAGGCCTGAATGTTTCATCATATGTGCCATTTTCTTCTTTAATGTCATTTACATCCTATATTTGATGATCATTAATACATTATTGCATTTTGAATAGTAGAAAATCTAAATAAAGCGATTATTATCAGTACACGGCTGTGGGGACAAGCAGTTCTGTAGTAGAGTTTTACACAAGTAATTAAAACACAATTATTCACACATTGACTGCTCAAACAAGTGTTCATTTTAAGAATTTTTAAACAGATTTTGTTAAAGTGGGATATTTCTGTTAAATCTCGGGACAGAAACAGTACAGAACACTCCGCTACACAGAACATTAGCAAGTGTTTATTTTTAAAATACATTTTATATAAGCAATATACATTTTTAAATATATGCTTGTAAACTCTGACTGGATTAGCTCTGCATTTTAAAAGTAACGGGATAATTGCTTTACTGTCTGCCTGACTAACATTTGCTTATCCTTTGTCGAACAAACAACTTTAATCAGCCTGAAATCATTAAGCATCGTCTGTTTTTCCCACATAATTACGAAATTAACAGTTATTTTGTCTTTCCCGCTAATAATTTAAAAAATAACGGTCATTTTGTTGGATCTCTTTATTCTAGAAAGTTCTGACTTTTACTGAACGTTTGCATTTGCAGTGTTGGTTCTGACCAGCAGGTGTCGCTAGCATCAGGGGTTTATTTTGTACAATCTATGGGTTTGTAACGCTTTGAAACAGTGAATCACTTTCAAATAATGTTGTTTTTATATGAAATGCTTCTGCAGCTGTGTCCTGTTTCAGTGTTGATATTTACCTGTCGAGTAAGTTCTTGCCGTGTGGTTTTATTCAGTGTATTTCCTCGGCCGCGGACAGATGACGCTGAGCGAATACGAGTGTTACTTTACTCATCGCTGTTGAAGATGAACCAATCACAGTCGAACGTGGTTACAACAAAATAATTCAATATTAATTAAACATATAAACGTCTCAGTTTGTGACACTGTGAATACAGACGGTGCTCCCTGTGGTATTAAGAAAAAAATAAATAAACCAGAATTATCGTGTTGCTTTTTCCGCGAGCTGACTGGCGGTATCGTTCTGACGTCATCACGGCTGCGTCCTCGTGCCGCACATGTGCGTGAGCTGAAACACGGCGGAACAGCAGGTAAGATTTCACTTCAATAACGCATCAAACACTGTAAATCAGACATGTTCAACATGATTCGCGCTCACTCACTGTGTGTCGTGTTCTCCTGTCATAGTTTGTCGCACTGTGTCAAAGTTTATGAGTAGTGTGAGTGTTGAGACTGTTGAAGATTGACAACATCACAGAGACCTTCACTGCGCCTCAGTCACATCATCAACACACATGAGCGAGCTGAGTGCGCTGCCCTGCCTATTAACCCTCATAGTGCCTTATAAACACTGCTGACTTCTCACGGTGGTGCAGTAGGTACTGCTGTCTGCTGTCGCCTCACAGCAAGAAGGTCTCTGGTTTGAGTCTCGGCTGGATCAGTTGGTGTTTCTGTGTGGAGTTTGCATGTTCTCCCCGTGTTGGCGTGGGTTTCCTCCGGGTGCTCCGGTTTCCCCCACAGTCCAAACACATGCGCTATAGGGGAACTGATCAACTACACTGGCCATAGTGTATGAGTGTGTGTGTGTGTGTGTGTGTATGTGTATGAGTGTTTCCCAGTGGTGGGTTGCAGCTGGAAGAGCATCCTCTGCGTAAAATATGTGCTGAAATAGTTGGTGGTTCATTCCGCTGTAGGACTAAGCTGAAAAGAAAATGAATGAATGAATATATAAATAATAAAATATCCCACTGTCAGGTGTTTTCAGTATTGGGCAGCCGGATGAGTGAGTGAATATAATCTTGACCTCAGTGTGGGGGGTGCGTGTCCTCTTAAAGGAGGCTCTGCAGGTAAACAGCTCATACATCAGGCAGAATGGAGGATAGTGATGATGTGCGAGTTTAGTCTGTATACTACAAGCATCACTACAGCTGTGTGAGGAGTCCCCATAATGATGGTAAACCAGATGTGTGTGTGTGTGCAGCAGTGATGAAGGTGAAGGTGAAGAAGGCGAAGGTGAAGACGCCCCGTCCGCGGCTGATCTCCTCCAGGAGGGGTGTGCTGGTCAGAGGACAGTGGAAGGCAGTGAATGTGGACCCCAGCCTGTTCTCGGATGAAGGGCTGGACGGGCTGGTGTGCTTCGAGGAGCTGACCGATTACTCCCTGGTGGAGCCGGAGAAGGCCCTCACTGAGCACGTGCAGACGGAGAGGCGGAGCCAGAAGAAGAGGAAGACCAATGAGGAGCGGCGGTCTGAAGATGAAGACGGTAGGGGCACAGAGATTACACACACACACACACACACACACACACTCACACTCACACTCGTGGAGTCTTCAGGAGTATGTGTAGTTTAACTCCTGTGTTTGTTCACACTGACTCCCCTTTGCTGATGTCGGGGCTGTTTTCACCCCATTGACTTCCATTATAGTCTAACCATGTGCAAACCCTGATCAATAGTGTGCTGCAGTTATGAAATGTGTAATAATTGTGATGACTGTGAACCCGGGATTATTCTGCAGAGTATAATGGTTGTGCTTAAATAATCTATAACAGCTGCAGCTCTAGAAGACGACTCTGGAGGAAAACCAGAGAAGAAGAAGAAGAAGAAAAACAAACAGAAGGAGGAGGAGGAGACGCTGGAGGAGGAGCAGATCCCAGCGGAGGAGAGTCCTGAGCCGACAACAGAAACACCACAGACCAACAAGAAGAAGAAGAAGAGGAAGAGGAAGAGGAAGAAGAAGAAGAAGCAGGAGGAGGACCAGGAGCAGCCAGAGGAGGAGAGAAGTGCTGCTGCCGGTGCCG